AAGCTTGCCCTTTTAAGACGGTGGATATTGTAACAGTGATATAAGACTTCTAAAGGAACTGGCTCACAGATTTGTATCCCTCTATCTGTTAGCAGTGACAGAGGCACCCACTTTACTCAACAAATTATAAGGGAAACTGCAAGATTTTACAGATTCAACAGCATTCTCACTGTCACATCACTCTAACTCTGCAGGCCTGGTAGAACAATAAACTAAAACCCTAACTAATAACCATAAAAAATTGGAAGAGAACTAGATCAACTATTTAACTTTTCATGGGTATAGCTAGAAGGCGAACGCTCAAGCAAATGGGATACAGGCAATCTGTTGTTGTTCAGTCATTTCAGTAGTGTCTGACTCTTCACATTTGGGGTTTTCTTGGCAAAGATACTGGAGTGGTTTGCCATTTCCTTCTCCATCTCATTTTACAGATGAGGAAACTGCAACAAACAGAGGCACACCACTAGTAAGTATCTAAGGTCAGATTTGAACTCCTGACTCTAGACCTGGTACTCTGTCCACTATGCCACTAGCTGCCTATATAGAGGAAACTACAAAAGCCAAAAAGAGACAATTTTAATCACAGAAAATTGAAAAGCTTTTCCAGGGGCAAAATTTAATGCAACTAAGATAAGAGGTCAACAAGGAAAAACCTTTGTATCAAATATCTCTGATAAGCGTGATATCCAAAATATACAGGCAACTAACAGAAATATACAGGGTCCTAGCATTAACAAAATTTTAACAGCTTAAAATTACACTAAGACATTTGGGACAGCCTGTAAGAGAGCAAAAGCTAGGAGTTCAAAGGATATAAACAAACAGTCCTCAAAATAACTGCAAGCTATTCACAACCAGGTGAAAGAAAACTCCACATCACTAATAATAAGGGTAATGAAAATCAACACAACTCTGAGGCTTCACCTCATATTCAGCAAATCTCCTTCACACACTCTATTCCACACATGCAGCCTTACTAGCAGTTCCTCAACCCTGACATCACACATCCGTGCCTTTGCACAGGCTGTCCCCTGAACCTCAAATTCACTACCTTCTAACCTCCTCTTCTGACTATCCTAAGCTCCTTTTCAAGACCCAGCTCCTGGAAGAAGCCTTTAAAAGCATCCTTGTATCATGGAGAGAGGGCTAGATTTAGCATCAGGGAGAGACCTCAGTTCAAGTTCCTCTTCTGACACAAGCTATGCGCCAAAAATCACAACCTCTGAACCTGTTTCGTTCCCTGTAAAATAAGGATAACAGCTGTGGTAGTAGCTGCTTCACTGGGCTGATGTGAGGTGCAAACTAGATAAAGCTCTTTGCAAAATTTAAAGGACTATAAAGATGTCAATTATTATTTCCTAACACGTTCTTTTCGGTTCTTAGTTCTTTATTCCCTCAAATTACCTTGCATTTACTCATCTATAGACACATTGTATATAATATAGAGAGATAAGATCAATCAATACATATAGGTGGCACAATGGATGGAACGTCCAGCCTGGAGCCAGGAAAACTCATCTTCCTAAGTTTAAAACTGGCCTCAGACTCTTACTAGCTGTGTGTTACTGAGCAAGTCAGGTAAGCCTATTTGCCTCAGTCTCCTGATCTATAAAATCAGCTGGAAAAGGAAATGGTAAACCACTCTAGTATCTTTGCCAAGAAAACCCCAAATGGGGTCACTAAGAGTCAGAATGACAAACACCTGAACAATAATAATACACATTGTATCTATCTTGTACCTTGTAGGACAAAATGTAAGCTCCATGAACTGGTGTCTATTGTCAGGGTTTTTTGGTCTTTGCATTCCCAGTGCCTTGCATTCCCAGTTTGTGCTTAACAGATGTTGGCTGAATTTAACCAAAGTTGCAAGGAGACAAATTTCTTCTCAATATTAGAGAAAGTTTACTAACAATTAGAGCTACCAAAAAAAAAAAAAACCATGGAATGAGTCATCTTGGGTAGTGAGATTTCTCCAGTACTGAGTTCTCAGACACTGCCTACATCACCACCTATCTATCAGAAATGCTACAGAGAGAATTTATTGGAGTTGAAAAGTCACACTAGATTCCCTTTTAAGGTCCCATTCAATTCTAGAGATTCTATACCTCTAGAATTGTTTTTATGGAAAAGCATATTTTGAGTTCCAAAACACTCAAGGAAACATTTAGAGCACAACTGAAGGCTACCTGTATTGATTAAAAAAAAAAAAAAGACAATGGGTTAAGGATGTGGCTGGTTTAACAGAGGGCAGTATTACATTTTAGGCAAACGAGCTTAAAAATACAGAGTTAATGGCTTTTCATTAATCCTGATAGAACAAAGTGGGAAAAGCTAAGATTTTTCTTAGACTACAGAATAAAGTGAAATAATTAACTAAAGGATTAGTAACTGTGATTCTCCTTAAACTCTGCTTTGTTCTCCAAAACAGAGGCTAAAACCGGAGCCAAAAAGAAAATTATTGTACTTATCTCTGGCTAAACCACTAAAGGAAATGGGTAAATTTAAGTAACACTTCAGGATTTCTCACTTCTACTGAACCTACGTAATAAAGACTACATTATCATTTTATGAAAACTGGCACTTTCACTTGTAATTTTTAAAGGCTGGCAAGACTTCTATATGGAATTAAAAACTGTGGAGAAGTGTCACGATTTCATCTCAGGCACGATTTCATCTTTTAACTGAAAGTGCATTTCTGGCTCCAAACAGAATTT